CGTGCGTGTGTGTGTGTGTGTGTGTGTGTGTGTGTGTGTGTGTGCGTGCGTGTGTGTGTGGGTGTTTGCGTGCGTGCGCGTGTGTGTGAGTGCGTGTTAGAAGTGAGACGCGTTTTCAGTTATATTATATCAAGTTGTATTAAAATGGTTTGATGATTTTTATTGTGATTGATGATGCTGGAACTTTGAATTTGTGGTTATACTGCCAAGCATATCGACAACAACAACAACGACGACGACTACGACGACGACAACGACAATAATAACAACAACAACGAAAACAACAAAATCGACAACACCAACAACAACAAAACTAGAAAGAAGGCACTCGGGGAGTGGGAATCCTCCGCATACGCGATCACTACACCTGTGATATTTTTTAGGCTGAGGTTGCTACTTGTAATTGGATGACGTGGACCTTGGTTTGTTTTTTGTACTGAACCGATCGACTATCTGCCTGTGCTTTTTGTTTTTGGATGTTTACGTGCATGTATGTATGATATTTATTGTGGGATGTCATTTATTTATGGATGTCTTTTTGTTCCCTGTTAATTGTAATAGAACAGAAATGCACACTCAGACATACATGTAACTTGCAAAGCAGATATATTGATTCCAGCACATTTAACTACATGGACAAGGAGGAATGTTAGACCTCTAAATACATTGTACAAGCAGTTAAAACAATGGAAATGGGGAAATTATGTACGTGTATATTTGTATGAAACCTGCAAATGTGCAATGTGCATGCTAAATGCATAACTACGAACTGGCTTCTTCTACACACACAACACGCCTGGAAATACCGCCTGGAACCCCCGCCCGCGTTAGCAATGGTACGGTCCTTCCGCTATGACCCAGCGTTGGAAATATACAATATACAATGCTTACTGGCAATATACTTAAATATTATATGATAATAGGGTAAAGGTCACTGAGGATCAATAGGGTTCCAGCGCTCCATAAGATTCACATGTGGACCACGTTTGAAGTGTCTACCTCTT